CTATGGTTACCAACCAACCCGAAATTATTGTTTTAGTGGAAATCATTTTATTAGTTTCTACAGTATAAAGCAACATTAACATCAAGGTACATATTCAGTTAATAATGTTCCAGGATACTGCATCAATCTGGAAATGGAAATAATACACAAAATCCTCAAAAACTGAAAAAAGGCAAAGTGTTTACCTCTAGAACATGAACCGGGACAATAAAAAAGAAGTGGAAAAGGAGTCAAAGTGAAGGTACAACAAAGACAAACAGGATTAAAAAATGTGCACTTCATTCTGACTGAGCTCACATACAGTGGAACAAGAGCTACTCCGGACTAATGTGCTACAGTTTCCAAGTGGAAGGTTGAACCCAGTGAGCGCATCCGACGGGGAATGAGGAGCTTGGCATAGAACTATATGTAACTGGCTTGTAGAACCACTGGACAACCAAACAATCAGAACCATCTGACTTCTCAAAGCTAAGCAAGGAAAATAACAGTAAGTCATTACAACTGCGAGTAGAAAAGCACATACAAATGAAGGGTAAAGAGCGGACGGCACCTACACGATATGGCCAGATAACTTGCGCTGGTATTTTGGTCGCTTAGACTAAACGACGAGCACCAACAGCAACTGTTTCGCTACCGAGCGATCACGCTCATACCACGTCTAGGACGGCAAATAACAGATGGGTCACAACTATAAAGCAGCTGATATGAGCATCATTTAAACAACGATTATTACAATATTATTACGAGGACTAGCCTATAAAATCTACCCGGGCTAAGACTGACACATCAATTCATTCGTACAATATTCATATCAACTGGATATGATTCTATGCGATCAAGCTTTGACCACCACTCTGATAGGTATCGTAGACGGTAGAACAGCAGGAACCAAGGAGAGAATGACGATGGTTCTGAAAATAAAAAAAAAACAAGTAAACAGCGACTACTAACTAACATAAATAGTCTCTTACCTGTCGCTACCCATCTGGCCAATTCCTGCTCGTCGACTAATCTTACATCGCTCACTTCAGATGGATTAGGAGTAAGACGACTGAGCGACAAATCACGTGTAATCACAACATAATCAAGTTCATGCTCACCCCACAACGAGTCCTTCATCACAGCCTTCAAGAATAAAATAGAGCAGTGACTTCTGAAGCATTACTCTGACACTCACTGTACCTTGTAGAGAAAGCGTCCCATCACACGACATTCCTCTGGACTCAAATCCACCACACCCAGTTCATGCTCAACTTTCCTAACGGCGGCTGCGACAGCACCTGGACCTCCATTGAGCTCGACATTCGTAAAAAGTGGGTGGCTACAGCAGGTATTGGCCCATAATAAAGGAAAGGTGATCTGAAACACGG